AGTGATTCAGTATTCTCTCATGGTGGATTTGTTCTCCCTTCCACCAAACTTTCAAATGCATGCGCGAGTGAGTTTACTGCACATAACTGTATGCTGTCAAACAAAATATCATTTTCTTGAATTTCCAAATTCCATTAAATACCCCCACAAAATATCTAACCAGTGTAGTTAATTAAAAATTCAACACGTTATGTATACCATATTTATATGTTATGCAAAGTAAGGAAAATAATGCAGTAATTATTCTATTAATATGCTTAATAGTTGGTTAGTTATACTTTTCAAAAAAGCTCAAATGAATCCCAAATGAAATTCTATTCTAAAACTAATTGGTGGAAGGAGGAATAACTCATTAGACTTATAAAGTGGTTCTATTTTTCATGTATAAACGATGTGGGACAATTCACAAGTGATATTCTAACAAAGACAAGTTAGGATTTGGAAGAAAATGAAAAACATAAAGTCAAAATATGTACAACTGTACAATAAATATTGCATCAAATGGTTGGTTGTAAACCAATAATGGAACGTGCTATATTTATGAAATATATCAAATGTAAATAAGAGTTTTTTCGATACTTGAAACTTACTAATGTAATACCATTTTCATTTTCATTCCTCTATATATATTTACAACAATATTATCTAATTGTTACACAAATCTAAATATTGTAAATTGTGATTCAATCATAATTTATGTATAGTTATGTTGATGAAAATTTGTCCCGAACGGTTTGTCATATTTGGTTAGTGCAGTGTTTCCCAAATCTTTTTTTTGTTTTTTTTTTAACTAATTATAATTTTTAATAACTTTTTAAGAATTCATATTTTTTTTTATTTTTTATTTTTTTTGGGAAGGTTCCTGTTTGATATCAAAATTGTTTGACACTAGTGTGCTTCGAAGAAGGTAGCTTAGACAAGGAGATTAAAAAAAGAAAAAAAAAAATCAAATTTTTACTATGAGCCATAAAAAATTAATAAATATTTGAAAATGTCATAACTTCGCTAGTAAGAAAGACTTTATAGTCATAGATCACATTCCCCCGGTCATGCATCACCACCACGTGACTTTTGAGGATATTGACTTATTGACCGCCTTTCACTATATAGTTTTAATAATTCAAAATGTCTAATATGTATAATGATCCTGCTATACAAACATAATAATTGACATAATACATAATGTAGCACGATCTTATAATTTTTCCTATCACAACACCTTTAAAATGAACCACTTAAAATACATACACATCGTTGTGTCAAAATGACATTATTCTATAATGTAATGAGGTTGGCTTTTATCCCGAGAACTTAAAATACTTACACATCGTTATATCAAAATGACATTATCCTATAATGTAATGAGGTCGGCTTTTATCCTGAGAACTTAAAATACTTACACATTGTTATGTCAAAATGACATTATTTTATAATGTAATGAGGTCGGCTTTTATCCTGAGCTTATGTAGAGTTCAGGTTATAATTCGGTAATCAGTTGAATTAGTCGATCTTGAATTAGAAGTTGGATAGAGATTTTAGATTGTAAGCACTTGAGTTGTATCGAGTTGGAATAAGGCTCGACGTCAGCTTGACCTAGTCTAAGAGGTCGAACTAAGAAAAGTAGCTAGCTAGCTTATTGAGTCGAGTTAGGATTGATTCATGGGGAAACCTAAAGTTTTGTTAGTACAGTAAACAATATTTTATTAGATAAAAGACTCTTAAGGGCAATTGGTAACGGATATAAAACAGTTTTAGTTGGATTATGAGTTAAATGACTTATTTTGAATAAAGTCCATTGCGTAGAGAATTAAGTGAGAATTTGAGTTTGTATATAAATAATATTTAAAATTTGATGATTAAGGTTGATGTGGTGTAAAAGTATGAGAAAGTTCACTAGAGGTGATAGATAGTTAAAATGTGTGAGTGAGTGAATAGTGAATTAAAGTTGTCGTGATAAGTAAGGTGATTGATTGATATTATTTAATTATATTTATAACATTGATTATAGTGAGGTTGAATTAAATCTAAGTTAACTTTTATGTTAAAACGAGTATAAAAATTAGGTCATCGGTCAAAATCGATTTTGATTCATTACCGATCACTATTCAGAGGAGACGATCTCGAAATTCAGAAATCCGCACTTACATGAATAATAAGTCACTAAAAATAAGTGTTTTTTTTTTCTTTTCTTATTAAATGTTTCAGGTAATAAAGTAACTAACAAATATAAAACTGACTCGATGGTGAAAGGTCTAGCTTGTATCAGAAAATTCCTTAGCGAGGAAGACCGGTAACTTAAATCGGATTCATTTGATAAATCTTTAACAACGGCTATTATTACAAGACTTGACGAAATTTTAAAGACAAGTAACGTTTTTATTATGATGAAATGTGAATGTACGATTTAAATGAATTGTTATGCTCGCGTAGGTAAAGGCACTGACATTACATGTGTAAAAGAGACAAGGGCGATCAGAAAAGGATATTGGTGTTTGTTTACTTTATATGCAATATTTTCATTATTTTCCCTTTTCATTTAGTTTTTGTTTTTGTCATAAAAGAACTACAAAAAAGTAATACTAAGACTTTTACTTAATCAACTAATCATGTGCTATAATCTAGGGATTATCAAAATTTGGTTGAATAGATGTTATATGGAAATGTATACCTAACTACCGTTTTTATTGTGTCAAGTAATTATGTGTCAAAATATCGAAAAAAAAGTATAACATAGTAATCTCATACCGAATCAGTTGGTGGACATACATTGAGTTGAAGAGTGAGACCGATGATTTACATATTAGATGATCAAATTTTAATAATTTTTATTATAACATTGCCAAAATGAACCGATCTAAATTTCATTAACACTTAAATTCAATCAACTCTTTTTTTTTAATGATACATCCAAACCTTATCTTTATTGATCCATATTCACAACACATGTTATATGTGACGATGTTTAATTACTTCACCCATTTCAATTTAGACGTTATTCTAGAAGTTTGCATATATATAAATGTAAAATGGGAATTAAAAATACTTTATCAGTGTATTGAGAGTATGCCAATAGAATTATTTAGTAACAACATTATTTATTGAGATTCTCTTCACAATAACATAAAGTTTTTCGTTTGTCGATTATCTGTTTGAAATTTTCTCAACGAGTTGTGTTTTCTGTTGGCAATATTCAGCAACAACAAATCTGTTGGCATTCATTTGAAAAACTTGATTGCCAACAAATTATTGTTAGTAAAATTTAGAATTCTTGTAGTGATGGTATTTTATCAAATTAAGCATTAATAGCATAAAAAATGCACACTAAATGAAGAATTAAAGAATTTTGACCTTTACACATTCACATGCAATTCTAAAATTTGGACCAAATAACCTGTAAATGTATATATATAATTTAAACACAAATGTTTATATTAAACGATTGGCTAGATAGGTTAGATCCAGGGGCGAAATCAGGAAATTAATTGAGAGGGGGCAAAAAAACATGACAAAAAATTTAGGGGTGCAAAAAATCATTTAAGAGGGGGCAAATTAAAATTTTTAATTATAATAGTAAAAAAAAATTAAAGCAAATTAAAATTTTTAATTATAATAGTAAAAAAAGATTAAAATTTGAGAGGGGACAATGGCCCCCTATGTATAATGTAATTTCGCCCCTGGTTAGATCTGTCATATCTTATAAACACTATAAACAGATAATACATGTTTATAATATCAAATATTATATTTTGTTTTCATGATTTTTAAAATATTATATTCTTTATTAAAAATATAAATAGTTATCAAAATAGTGTATTGGGCTAATGGTTAGTATATTACATATATTAGAAGTCCAATAGAGCCTGCAGATGGCTCCGTGATTGCTCAATTTATGTTTTTAAATTTTTTTTTTATTAATTTAACCAGCAACGACCAAATATGAAAATTACGAGTGTTTCGATAATTATGGTACTAAATTAAAATAGTTTAAGTGTGTGTGCTTATATTAAAACTAGTAATGCATTTGCACAGAGGAAAAGTACTTTAAAAAGATAACAATATAAAAAAAAATAAAAATAAATTATAATTTAATTCATAAAAAAATATGAATTAAGAAAATAATTCTCAAAATTGATTTTGATCAAGTAATTGCTATGGAGAGCCGTTACAACCATTTTCTTTATGCTAATACATCCGGCCATTTTCATGAGTGGGTGTGACTTAAAATTTGAGTATAATTTTGTCACTCCTTGATTGGTTTATGCTCATAATTTATGACATTCAGACAAGTTATTTCGTAACTTAAAAATGAAATTGAATATTGAAAATTTTGGAGGGATAATAAAATTTAATGCATAATAATATAATTAAATGCTATGTTGCTCCTCTTTATATAAATATATAGTATATGGATTTGGTTCAAATGAGAACTAAGTTGAGAACCATGAGAACCGCTATTTTTAATTGTATGTAGTGCTATGACTAATTGTATTTTAGTGCTATTTTTAATCAGGATGTATTTTATTAAAAATAGCAACACAATTTATGTTAGCATTTGTAAAAATCATAGCACCATGTTAGATTAAAAATAGCATCATACACAATTAAAAATAGCATCAGATATGGTTCTCACTGTTCTCACACTATGACTAGTTTTTATTTGAACCAATCCCTATAGTATATATATATATATAGATTATTACACATTTATCTTTAATGCGAAGTCAACATTGCAGTAGAGTCAAACCCGAGAGTCATATTAACTTAGCCCTCGAAACGTGTCGTGGGGCCCACCATCTTGACATGCATCAATCCACCGCATGAGTCGCTACTAAATTAAAAAAAAAAATATATATATATATATATATAATACACAAATTAATTAAAAAAACGAATCGAATCTGTCAAACACTCTTTAAAACCCAAGCAAAAAGGCGTGATACCTAAAATATCTCCTCCGCTAGTCCTCTACTAAACACCACACACAACACAAAAGGAGAAGAAAAAAAATAAATATATATATATATGTAAAAAAATTGGAAACGCCATAAATTTCAAGCTCCTCCTTTATGTAAGCAACCACATTTCGATTTCCGATCTAGATTCCTTTTATCACGAATTTCTTAGCTATGTTGCTCGATTGATCTATTCGTGTAATGTGGGTTCAAATCTAATTCCCCTGCATTGTTTTGTTTTTTACTGTTTGCAGCGGATTGTTTCGATTTGATTCTTTTAATTCGATTCATTGTTTGTGCAATGGCGGACGACGGCCGGAAGTACATCACCTCCGACGAGCTCAGGCGGCACAACGTCCCCGGAGATCTCTGGATCTCGATCCAAGGCAAAATCTACGACGTCACCGACTGGTCCGCCGTGCATCCCGGCGGCGACGCCCCACTCCTCAACCTCGCCGGCCAGGACGTCACCGACGCGTTCGTCGCCTTCCACCCTGGCGACGCCTGGAAGCACCTCGACCCTCTCTTCACCGGCTACCGCCTCCGCGACTTCGCCGTCTCCGAGGTCTCCCGTGACTACCGGAGCCTCGCCAGCCACCTCGCCAAATCAGGTATGTTCGACAAGAAAGGCCACGGCGTGATCTACTCCCTCTGCTCTGTTTTCCTGATGCTGGCCGCCTGCTTCTATGGCGTCATCTTCACGGAAAGTTTCGCCGTACATTCTCTCTCCGGCTGCCTGCTTGGCCTGGCCTGGATGCAGGTCGCCTATTTAGGTCACGACTCGGGTCACTACCAGATAATGACGACCCGCGGGTTCAACCGGTTTATCCAGATCCTCGCCGGAAACTGCCTGACCGGAATCAGCATCGCCTGGTGGAAATGGACACACAACGCACACCACATTGCTTGCAACAGCCTCGATTACGACCCGGACCTTCAACACTTGCCAATGTTAGCCGTGTCTTCTAAGCTTTTCAACTCGCTGACGTCACGTTTTTACGGCCGCCAATTAACCTTCGATTCCCTATCTCGATTCTTCGTGAGCTACCAACACCTCACGTTTTATCCCGTGATGTGCGTGGCTCGTGTAAACCTCTATCTCCAGACATTTCTACTACTTTTCTCGAAGAAGAGGAAAGTGCCAGATCGAGCACTTAACCTTTTAGGTATTCTCGTTTTCTGGACATGGTTCCCGATTTTGGTCTCGTTTTTGCCGGATTGGACAGAAAGGTTCGTTTTCGTGATGGCGAGTTTCTGCGTGACCTCGATCCAGCACGTGCAGTTTTGTCTGAACCATTTCGCGGCCAATGTGTACGTGGGCCCGCCGAGAGGGAACGACTGGTTCGAAAAGCAGACGGGTGGGACGATAGACATATCGTGCTCGTCTTACATGGACTGGTTTTTCGGGGGTTTGCAGTTTCAGCTCGAGCATCATTTGTTTCCCAGGTTGCCCAGGTGCCAGTTGAGGAGGGTTTCGCCTTTAGTGCAGGAGTTGTGTAAGAAGCATGGCTTGCCTTATAGGAGCTTGTCATTCTTTGAGGCTAATGTGTGGACGTTGAGGACGTTGAGGAATGCGGCTCGGGAGGCTCGGGATATGGCTTCGCCAGTGCCCAAGAATTTGCTGTGGGAAGCTATCAACACTCATGGGTGATGTCATGATTATTTTTTTTTTTTTTTGGATCAG